TATTTCTTTTATATCTTCGATAACTTTATATTTTTCATTTTATATAAATAGAAGACAATTTCCTTTAGCTTAGCAGTGTGTCTGACATATAGTTTTAAATAATAGTTTAGTTTAATCCCTTTAATACAATTGTATAGTACAGAGTGCCGACTGAGGCAGTACTTCATTGTTATAGTTATTAAATAAACTGTTAATTTACTGACACTCTTCTAAATCTAAGTATCAAATTAAACCTTTTGCTTACCACCATAAATATTGCTTCGCTTACCACTCATAAGCATCTTAAAGAACTGACCATAACAATAGCTATAATTACTGAGCTAGCAAATGCTATAGATGGTTATGCAGAAAATAGGATAATAGCTAAGGATATTCTAATAGATCAAATCAAAAAGGCAACAAGGCAGATTCGATGAAAAGAGCACAATTTACAACAGGATTTAGTCTGTAAGTAACAAAGGTGTTATGATACAGAGATTGAAAGAAATCTTACTATTACACAAAGAAATCTTACTGAAGGAATGATGGATAGGATTATTAGTGATCTTTAGCAATTATAGGCTAATGCTCAAAGTCAAGTAAATAGAATGTTAAGTAATATAATAAGGAAGTGAATTCGTATTGATATATTACTACAGGAAAAGTTTGCTTTATAATTACTATATCAGCGAAATGCCTACCACCTATAACATTATAGAGAGGATATAGGTTTATTAGAATATAATCAAAACAGGCTCTATAAGTGATATGAGAAATAGAAAAATAAGACTTGAGCAGAATGCCAGAATATTTTAAATTTGCAGGAACAAATATTCATATTACAAAATAATCTTTCATATTTAGGGATGGTAGGATATGTACTAAAAGATTTTCAAGTAGAGCAAATGAATATATAGATGAATATATAAAAAACTACAGACTCTATCTTACGGCAGCCAACATTACTACTGCTAATGCAAATGATAAATAGAGAGCTTTAGAACTATTTTGATCATGCTTGACAGACGAGATATTACGTTAGGTCAAAGATAAACTCATAGGCAAAAAATGGTAATTAAATCATGTAATATATGGCAACAATTTGGCTAATATAGATACTGTTTAGGCTTTGAATAATGCTAATATAACAGCCACCATGATCAATGCATCAGATAGTATCCCATTACTAGTATTACCAGTTGGAACTACTAGCGTTAATTATTTCAACACATAATATTTACACAAATGAGGATTGGTCTCTTACCAGGAAATGTCCTGTAGATGCTGATACAGTAACTAATACACTGAATAGTACCACAAATAACAACAATCCTAAAGTTCTTCCTGATATGAATATTAGCCAGATCATTTATTTGTTTAAAAGGAATTATCCTACAGTTGTTCGAGAGCAACAGGAATTGATCTTTGATACTTTGACTCAAGGATCTGATTCAGTTAGAAATTATTATAGAAAGATAAACAAATATGCTAGCTGGGTGAGAATATTTGATCGTAAAAAAAGAATACAATTTATACGTGATTTGTCTCCTGAAAATAAGTTGGAAATGAAGCGACTGAGTTTAAACAAACCTTTAAATAAATTGATTGAAACATTGGAAGAGATTGAAATGAAAGGAATAATTTGCTTCTGAGTGAGGATATTTATAACCAGCCAGCTATTAAGTCAAAACTAAAAACGCTTTCTTATCAGAATATTATTACAGAAGATATTGATAAAATTGTAAATAGTAGGATTTAGGCATTACAGCAAATAGCATCAAATCAATTACTAGCGTCTTCTTCTGGTTAGGAAAATATTACTAAGGCTGATTTACAAGAAGTTATAGCTAAATCCTTTCAAAAAACTATGTTTTGAACAACTAAGACTCTAGGTAATAGTAAAAAATTAGCTAATAAGAGAGCAGAAGACCTTATTATTAGATGTTTTTTAGGTGATATACTAAGAGAAAAAGGTAATGTAGCTCCTGACGATAATTATAATTATGATCCTATTAATAATATTACTAACAGTATAGCCAGTATGACACTAAATAAGACCACTATCAAATCTGCTGTTAAAAGTGCTGTTAAGAAATGTACCAAGTGTGGTAGATTTGAACACACTTTTTATAAGTGCTTTGTAAAGAAGAAAAGAAAAGCAAGTAGTCAAAGAAAGGTAAGGTCAATCTCGCTATAGAACCAGATTCAGATTTTTTTCAGATAATACTTCATCTAGCAATAATTCTGATTCTGATATAAGTTCTTCTGATTCTTCTGATTCTGATGACATTCTTGATATTTATATGACCAAATTAAAAAAAAAGTAAAGAAGGAAGTGAATCCAAAAAATCGTCCTTTAAAAAGATGTTTAAAATACCACTAGAAAAAACTATTCGTAAAGTCCTTCATAATGAGCTTAAATTAATTTTCCTCACTATTTTTTTTAAGATTTTACTGAAGGCACTTCTAGCAGTCTCATTATGTTTAAACAGATAGTGGCTTCTATAAAGTGTGCCTCCGGCCAAAATAATACATCAGCATCTTCTAACAATTTATTTTCGGATGAGTCTAGTCAAGAAGAAATATCTTTAGATGGTCCTATTAAGATTGATTTTGTTCAGAAAAAGGAGCTGAAAACGAGTGTTACCACTATAGAGTGTAAAATCAAATGCTTAAAGATTTCAGCTATGATTCTTGACTCCGAAGCTGAGTCTTTAATTATAATAAAATTATTGTTGATCACATTAGAGGTAAAATTGATAATTCTGAAAAACATAACCTTAGCGGTGTTACTACTGTTCCTATTGAATCTATTAGTATTATTCGCAATTTGCCAATTACTTTAGCTCCAAGACTTACTATTTATGAAGATTTTATAGTTATAGATTATCATAAGCTAATGCTAATATTTTCTAACCAACTCTTAAAGAAATATAGATGTACAGTGGACTGGAATACAAATGAGCTAAAGATTCCTTTCAATAAAAAAGATTATATTATCCTAGTCACCATATATAAGGTTAAGAACAAGCTCAACGTGAATTATGTGACTACTACTCTCAAATGTGATAAATCTTCAACTCTGAATTGTATTTTACAGAATTTAAGTGAAGATAATGATGTATTAAAAAAAAGTGAGTTATAAGAAACTTGAAAAAATGCTATATAACACTCTTAAGTATAATGCAGAAATCAATAAGTATTATAAAAGATTACAAGTACGTTATAATAAACTTCCTATTGAAGGCTGATAGAGGAATAGGTAAGTTATTTTTCTAATATACTCTTCATATTCGCTATATTTTTTATATTTCTTTTAACTATCTTTTCATGTGACGTGCATAATTCCTCTTTGTTTATATCTGAGCTTTCTAAATTCATGGAGATTGGTTGAATTAATTCTAAAGAGAGTATCTGAATAATGAGTGATTCAGAAATACAAATGATCTTGGATCTGGATTTTTCTTTCAGCTTAATCCATTCAGTCTTTTTTTCTTGCTATCAGTCTCGCTGGGGCTAGATGCCTTTGGAAGTATATTAGCTAATATATATTCACTACTCTGTTACAGACGTTTACTATTATCTTATATATTAGAGATGTAATTTTTATTGATATGGTAGTCACTTACTATCATATATGTGAGGACCTTATTTTTAAGGCATCTGATTTCTTCAACCTGCTTCAGTATTAAAATACTAACATCTCATCAATAATGAGTTTTTAAAAATTGGGTAGATATTAATCCTCCAGTATTTTTAGCAATATTTTAGAATGATAAAAAATGATAAAAACAATATTTATTGTTTTAGGATGACAAAGAACGATAAAAAAAATTATTTATTATTTTAAAATAGTAAAGAATGTTAAAAAGTGATATTTATTATTGAAGAACGTTTGTTATTATATGAGAGAAGGCAGGCCAAATTATCAATTAATATTTGGATAGATTTTATTTGCATATTTTTTTCTTTTATATAACCATGCTAAGATTATGTCTAATATGTATACACTGAAAGATATCAATAAAAGGGGACATCAGCTGGGTAGTGCATATAAGCAAAAGCTCAAAAAAAATTAAGATCTGTTACTGAATTTAACTCTGAGATTAATGATTTTAGTAAAAAATTGGTAGATAAATACAATGAGCAGAAAAAGAAGTTTTAGCGAACTAATGCTGATATTGGAAATAAGATTAATTAGTTAAATGAATCTAACACTAAAGTTAGATCTTAACTTATTTTGAATGGAAGTCTCATTCTGAAATTTAACGTGAGCTTGAAGTTAAATATATTACCAAAATCAAATCTCTCAAATCTTCTATTAAAATACTAAAAAGAGAGCTAACTTTGGTCCAGAAAGCTTCGTCTGCTGATAAGGTCATAATTCTTTCTCTTGAAACTAAAATATGAGAATTGGAAGGTAAATTGAAAGATATAGATCTAAAGCGTACATATTATAATTTGGATGTAATAGAAGGGTGATAGAAGAGCTAGCCCAAATAAGCTCATCTAAAATAAAATCCCTTAGACTCGAATTAGAACAAGTGAATAAGGACCTTAATTCAAAAAAATATGAAATAGAATATATGAAAAAGGGATAGAAGTAACAGATATTATATATAAACGGAAGCTAAACTCCTTATTTTCAGTACGATTAAATTTACTGGAGAAAAATACTCATCTTCAAGAATTACTGTCAAAGAAAGAGCTAAAAGATGCTTCGCATAATGAAATAGATACTCTACCCCTGCCTATGAATAATTCTTCATACACAGCGCCTTCTAGTCAACTTTTCGCTTTTAATCCATTGTCTCAATTAATTTCTGTAGGTGATGCAGAAGTGGTATCTTTACCAATAACTGCTCCTATCATTGTGAGCTCTTTAATATCACTATTAATAATATATTCCATATTTACCTTATTACTAATTGCAATTATATAGATTGTGATCAGAAAAAAGCTATAGAATATATAGAACAGATCCTTCTGGAATTGCATTAAGCTGAAAAAAAAGCAACTGATATCTCTCTCATGAAAATTATGAAGATAAGCTGAGAATATACCTACAATTCTGACAGAAAAAAATGATAATTTTTTTTTTTAGATTTTGGAGCGGATCATGCAAAATGTCTAAACAAAAACATAAATTATGATGTAAACAAGTTTTTTACATCATATTTTAATAAATATCTGCAGCCTAGTGATTGCAAGCATCATACAATAGTTTCACTAAAAAAGCACCATCAATGTATTAAAGCTTTATAAAAAGGTGGCGTTCGTAAAGTCGCAGACCTTCAAAAAGCTACCGGATATCTATTAAAAACATTATACAGATGGACTAAACAACTCAAAGAAATGAACGACCTTAAGCAAAGAAGTCATCTGGGATGTCTAAAACGTCTTTCTCCTTTTTAGCGTCACTACTTTAATTGAATTGCAAAATCGCACAAATGTGCGTCAAGTAATGAAATAACTGAAAACCTAAAAAAAATACCCTGACCTTGATATTGCACCTCAGACGGTTAGAGAAAACC